CAAACTTCCCCCTGACGTCCAACCTAAATCTCCCCTCCCTCAACTTTAAACCATTTCCCCTTGTCCTGCTGTCACTCACCCTTTCAAAGAGTTGATTCCCCTCCTGCTTGTAGGCTCCCTTTAGGTACTGAAAGGCTGCAATGAGGTCACCCCGCAGCCTTCTTTTTTCCAGGCTGAACAAGCCCAGCTCCTTCAGCCTGTCCTCAAAGGGGAGGTGCTCCAGTCCCCTGATCATCTTCGTGGCCCTCCTCTGGACCTTCTCCAACAGCTCCCTGTCTTTTTTTACTGGGGGCTCCAGACTTGGACGTAGTACTCCAGATGGGGCCTCACAAGAGCAGAGTAGAGGGGAACAATCACCTCCCCTATGGAGAGATCCCTGTTGGCCACCCCTCTTTTGATGGAGCCCAGAATACCATTTGCCTTCCGAGCTGCAGGGGCACACTGCTGTCTCATATTAAGTTTTTCATCTATCAGGACCCCCAGGTCCTTCTCCACAGGGCTGCTCGCAAGGCCCAGCATTGTCTTTTGCAGGGAATGGCAACAGAGCAGGACTGAGCTACTACAATTTTTTCTAAAAATTTTCTTCTATGATGATTTGTCACTAGATTTTTTTAAAATTAATATTTGTTGAATTGATGATGGTTGATAGTAAATAGGTGAATCAAATCATGCTGGAGTTCGAACACTTCTGTCTAATGCAGATTGGACAACATTGGCTAACTGAAATATTTCATATTTAAACCTTATCTTGCCTCCGGTGATGCATACCTGCACTAGATGTACCTGCCATTGACAGAATTTGGTTGTTCAATGTTGTTTTAAAATGATTTTGTGCATTCTATTTCTAGGCCAAAGCCATTGCATGAAATTCCAGCCTTCTACTGTCCTGACAAAAACAAAGTGAATTTCATACCTAAAAGTGGCTCTGCTTTCTGCCTTGTCAGCATCCTCAAGCCACTTCTTCCCACACAGGATCTTACGTTGAAGGGCACTACACACAGCCTGACTGTCTCATCTGGCATGACACCCAGTTTGTTACAGCCCATTTCTATGGCTTCCTTGTCTGCGAACACAGATCAAGACAGGATCTCTCGTGGAACAAGTACAGTAATACCACAGACCTCTATACTCCAGCAATCAGGACGTATTGAGGAAGCTGAAGGATAGATCTCGTGTCTTGATGTTTCTCTGGGCAACTACTGGGGAAAAAAATTGGAACCAGTTGACTGGATCTTTTTGATGGCGCTATTTGCATTGTTTTAACAACTTATAGCACTGTCATAATTGAACTGTTTGTATAATGACAGTTTGGTACCACATTGAAAAAATCAGGATGATGCAGCAGCTGATGCTCTATTGCACTTCCTGCTTATGAAGACTTCAGTTCTGTTTACCACTTGCTTTTTTTTTTTTTTTTTGAATACTGATGAAAACTAGGACTGTTGTAGTCCTCTGCCATTTACAGGACCAATTGTTGTGATACTGTGTGTCCTTTGACTGTTTCCCACTAAAAAAAAATACTGAGACCAATCAGCTGACCCCGTTTTACCATGCAGCCTGCGGAGGGGACGGGAAATCAAGTGGTTTTGCAAAATGTCTTTTGTATGAAAACATGGATTTTATAACAAAGTCTTGCCTTTTCTGATGTGTAGTGGGTAGTGTTTAAAAGACATTTTTCTGGTGACAATTCCTGCCTATGTTCCCCCATCACTTTTTTTTTTTTTTTTTTTTTTTACAGTAGAGAAGATAAGATTCATTTTAATTCGCTGTTTTACAGCTGCTGGGACCAAAGGATTGCTGAAGAATTTAAGCAATCTCAAATTATGTGACCTTCCTGAACAGCCTCAGCCCTAAGTAAGACAAGTTAATGTGTTTGAAAACTTTAAAACAGTAGAGTATCCAGAAAGCAGTGTTAATACGTAGTGTATTTTTTAAATTGATATTATAAGTTTGTGCTTCCTGTAAGTCACATTCTTAAAACTCCTTCCTTCACCTGGCTGCTGTCAGTGATGGTTTATTGGCTGGAGAATTGTATTTTAAAGCACTAGTCCCAGTAGTGTTCCGTTTGTGCACGGAATTTTGATACAGGAGCAGGGAAAAAACATGTTATGTTCTGGTTCCCTATTATTCCAGAAAATGTGCCACTTACCTCTTAAAGGTTTGCTTGGTTACTTGCAGAGTTAGTTGGCATGAACTGTTGATCACTCTTAACAAAAATCTGCTCTGATGTGACTCTTCACTGTATTATAGACCCTGGCTATGTGATACTGAAATACCTGTGCATGATTTCCTCTCTTTTTGTCATAGTGGTGTTTTCTGCGTATGTTGAATGTGTTGGCTTGTCAGCCATGGTATTTGTTACACAGCAGTTTACTGCAGCAGATATGTTCTCCCTTTTTGACTAGCAACTTAGGCTGCTGTGCAAAACAGGATTTTTTGATGCTTATTCTGTCCTCATCTGCAGCAGTTTATGGTTCCTTTGAAGTTGTAAGGGAAGGGGCCATTTCAAATGAAAGCTATTCAGAGACTTCAGTGAGGTTTCTTTTGTGTTCCAAGGATTCATTATATGTATTTGAGTAAATACAGTATAGATACGTGCAAAAAAACCTGCAGTGACTTGAATGCCAATGTCATATCGTCCTATAAAATGTTTGCCTTCTAGCCTCTTTTACAGAGGTAAATTCGGTCATTTCAAATTAATATAATTGTGGATATTTTGTGGGTCTGAATATTGGTCTGTTAAGCATGAGTCATTTCTACTGACTTGCATATGCATTGCTTCTCTGGCTGAGTTAGAGTCTCAGATCCCTCCCTAATTACACCTATCTAAAGATTATACTGTAAATATACCAGCTTTGCTCAGTGCTTAATATGCTGAATTTGGTTGCAGACATTTCGCTAGGAGAAAAAAATAATCTTCCTACCTTTGCAGATAATAGTCATAGTTCTGATGCACTCATACTGTTCCTCTAAATCCAGAGTAAATAACTGTCTGATAGCAATAAACTTCACTGAGCAGGTAAGTGTAAATCACAGTGGCCTACACAAGTCCTGCATTTAGAGTGTATGCTGAGCCCCTCTTTAAAACATAATGTAGAAGTTCAGCAAATGAAAAATGTTCAAGGAAGTGTGAAAATACTGCATCTGTTAAATTAGTGAATGAACGTAATTTAATATACCATTTTTCTTCCCATCAAAATAGATAGGATCATACAGATGGGACTAAAAAGCTCTGGTTTTGAATGGCAGCTCTGATTTACACTGAAAAAGTTGTTGGAGAGGAGAAGACTTTGTTCACCAAATTTGTGTGCTGTGATCAGTTAATGAGGCTTTGTGGTATTAATCTTTTTCTTCTGAAGGAGTTCCAGTGAAATTTGAAGACTAGTATATACTGCTTTAGATAGGTTGTTTAAAGCTGGTGTGGCTTGATTCATGAGAGATGGGATCATTCAGGTGAAGGAAGTTGTTGTAAATCTACTTTTTTCTGTAGCAGTAGCATGTAAAGAGTTTCTCCATCAATGCCAAAATGCATAGTGCTTTATCAGGAGATCTTAACTAAATGGTTAAGAACTGAAGGGCTAAAGTTAACAAATAGCCTTTGTTATGGCCTTGAGACTTAACTGATTTAACCAAAACTGCATTCTGATGTTTGTTTTAATCACAGAGTAATTCTCTCAAATAGTAGTGAGCTTTCTCCTGGAACTTTTTTTTCTCTTGCTTTAGTACTCAAGCATCTCTTCAGTAGCTCACATTGTGTATTATTGGACAATGTACTGTGTATGTTATTGAGCCAATCTGTTAAAAATATGAATAGAAATATATGAGGAATTTGCTTTTTATCAAAACAAATTGGATTCAGGATGGCTTTTTTTTTTATGTACAGGACTGTTCATTGCTGTGGCAGCTCTACTTTAATGTGAATCCACACTAAGAACTCAGAATTAAGGAAATGTAACAGCTCTTGTTCCAAGACCAGCTTTTACAAGTATGCATATAAAACTTAGCCTTAAACTTCATATGTGCTGTCTTGTGCCATAGCAGAGCTGCAAGGTAAAGTATTTAAATCAATTTAAAAATAGGTTTGAGGATGTATATAACTTAAAAGAAAAAAAAACAAACAACTCATTTGTATATAGAATTGAGATACTCAGTTTTATGAGGGGTTAACATATGGCTCAAGCACAGTTATACTGAAAGATTTCTAGTTCTTTCAGCATTCTTCAAATCCTAACTATGCATAGACCCAGTCAGTTCCTTGATTACCTACTTTGTAGCTTAAATGTGTAAAAGCTCTATTTTTACATACAAACTGACACACTTGATACTGTTTTCCTGATATTTTACACTTCTAGCCCAACTTTGAAGGCTGATAGCAGTGTTCAGTGACATTGACAGTTGATCTTTTGAGATATTCTAACTAGTGTTCCTCCAGTTGTAAATTTCACATAACTCACAAGGAAGTTGTTGTTTTAACAAAGGTCTATGCTGGCAGCTATGACTGTTGGACTCTTAACTTTAAAAATCTGAGGCATGAGGAAGAGGACTTCTCGTTAAACTGTAACATAATTTATCTATTTGTTCTTTTCTTGGTGCTGTAATCATGTAGCAACAAATTTAAGAACATGGAAAAGTTTAAAAAAAAAAATTGAGTACATAGAGCTTGGGAGGAAATTCTTGCTTGCATGTACATATCTTGAGAGAAAAAAGGGAGTGCAAATGAAATACAGCATACTGTGGAAGTAAGTGTTTGATGCATTTGCTATTGCGTTATGTAAATCAGCTCTTAAAAAGTATGTTTACTCTCAGGGCTTTCTTTTGTTTCTTCTAAGATGCAGTTTACTGAAATTGAAAGCTTATGATTTTTTAAGATCATTGAAGTCTGAGCCTTTTGGGAAGAAAAATGCTTCTAAAAATAGGTACTTGCATCATTTTATTGCTGTAATAGCTGGAAATGTTTTCAATATTAACATAAACCTACTGGGAAATATCTTTGAAGATTCATTGTCCTACCGTAAAAAAGCTTGCTGCTTCTGATCTTGATACTCAGAATTAATTGTTGCTAAGATTTTGAAACAAGGAGCATGCAGCTTTAAGAATAGTGTGGGGGGTGGAAATGCAAAGAAGTCAAATCCATTAACCTTTCCTCCGCCTCAGGCCTAGCTTCTTTTTCTTTATGAAGTTTAATAGAATTAATTGGTATGGCAGTAATTTCTTGCTGAAACGTGATCTATCTCTCTTGCCCATCTGTCTTTACAGTAACTCACTGCTAGTGAAATCTGTTTTCTTGTGGGATATCTGACAGCTTCTCCGTGGAACTGAAAGGGGAGTGAGGAGAACACATAGACACCAGTAACTTGTAGTTACAAAGATCATTGCTGCTGAGTGACTTCTTAGATATTTTAATTTCCATTGTCTCATTGTGTATGCACACACAGTCTGCGTAGGCCTGCTTCTGTAAACTGTATGATTTGGTATTTTAGATAATCTTTTTTTATGGACAGTTTTTCAGAACTTTACTCCTACAGAACTGATACATAATTTTAATACAAATATCTTCAAAGCAAAGCTTGTTTGTCATTCTTGTTCTCGTGAAATTAATATATCGTTAATATAACCCGCAAAAAAAGATCTTTACTATACAAGCATACAGATTTGAGAATGTCAGGACTGTGCTTTTTTTCCATGTGATTTTGTAGTTTAAGTGCCCTTCATCAAATGTCAGAGCCTAATGATGTTGTGATGACTTAGTCTCAAGCAAGTTGATGCATTAGAACAAAAAGTTTAGCTCTTAGAAAGGTAATAGAAAGCTCATCTTCCCTTAAACTAGGGAATGAAAAGCACTGTGGAAGATTGATTTCTTTATGTTTGAAGAGTTCCTATGAAATTGTTTTCCTTAATCTGAATATTTAGGAAAACAAAATGACCATTCGTTGCAAGATGTACCTGTGTATTTTCTTGAATTTGAGTGTTCAACAACGCCGGGAGTCAGTCTTGCTATTGAATATTTATTTATACAAGGAATGATCTAGATGCATTGTTTTGACTCTGTTGTGTTACTTGTTAAGTTGGGAAAGAATGCTAACTATTCACAAGTGTTTGGTGAAAATCCAGTCCCGTGTATCAGCTGGACTGCAACAGTCTTTCTGAATGCTCCAGCTGTAAATGGTGTCCTCTTAGTTTTTTCTCGATTCATTGCATGTCATCAGTAAGTACTTAGGTATTGTCTTTGCTTATTAGTTCCTTACTGGGAGTTGTATTTGACTACGGAGACTTTTGTAGTGTTGACAGGTCTGTCTGAATTGCAGAAGAGGACTTGACCTGAAAACACTAGAAGCTTCTTACACAGATTTATTCTGATAGAACTCTTTGGAAAAATCTAATAAGCTGAAAAGCAGAAGCAAACCAACCCTCTTTGGACTCATTCACCCTAATTTTCATTAGATTAATAGTCGAAGAATATTGCTTGGCTTTATTCTTTCATTTATTGAAATGTGCAATTTTTGAGAGTAACAGTTAAGGGCTGTCCAAAACTGCCATTAGATTGGTCTTTATATGAAATTGGCTGATGTGTTTTCCTCTGTTACACTGTGATTAATTTGTGGAGGTCTTCTTGTGTGTGTTGTACAGATCAGTTACTTGTTGCATGTAAGGCTATTTTTGTAAGCAAGAGGAATTCCGGGGATGATATGCGTAAAGGGCCTATTCTGAAATGATGTACACTGGTGTAAAACTGGAGCA